ATCCGTTTTGCCAGTACATGCCTTTGGAGTCGATTTGTAAGTCTATTATTGGGACGGCGAATTCTATGGGGATTAAAGTTCAGAAAGAGCTGGATTAAATGAAACTATTGAACTGTCTTTTTGCTATTACTGTAGCTTTTGTACTAAGATTTGGAAATTAAGAGTAGTAAAGTTGGTTGAAGTAATGATTTTGCTGTTTAAGGAAGCATGATATGGATTATGGATGTTTTCTTAGCAATAAAGATAGCTTTTTTTGAAGTTCATTAGAGTTGTTTGAGCAAGCCTAATGCTTTTTTGATCATACTGTTATAGTGAATCGAGAAGAATGGGATAACCTATGTCGGTTCTCGTAGATAGAGCCGAGGATGGAAAATTAGGCCTATCATTTTGCTATTGATACAAGGCCTGATACCATGATAATATTCCTCATATGTGCAATTTGGTTTAGGGAAATGTTCCTTGTTAGGTTAGTGCAGTAAGAAGGATGTAGCTGAGGAATAGTGGTTACTAGAGTGGTGTTAAGACATACTGATTCATACTTGGTGCATGTTGTCACAACTTATTTTGGATTTTTGAACTGTATGTTCAAGTAACTGGCTGTGTTTGGCTGTTGCTTTGGGTATGCCTGCCAGAATTGGAATATACAGAGAAGATTAGCATGACTCCCGCTCAATGATGACACCTACAAAAAGGGCAAAGGTTCAACAGTAACTGCATGCGTTTATCACAGAATAAGACAGGGTCTGTAGTGTTTTCTCACGGGTTCTTTTCCTTGAAATTTAGCTCGTTTATTTGATAAGTTTGATGAGTTCTCTGCTGTTAGTTTTGGCATTCATCTAGAAAGCACTCCGTGCAATTTTTTGGTCAAGTCTTCCATTTCTACATTTGCGTTTTCACAATTTTTTTTACTCCTCCATTGGAGGTAGTCTCTAATCTTATTCTTCTAAAATAGACCATATCTTTAATGCCCTAATGTAAGTATAGATTCCATAGCCAGCTCTTGCATCGAGTTGGGAGCTTGATGTCTGTCTTTTGTTCTCTTAGCATCCTTAAGCTGTTGAAACCATAGCTGCCTGTGTATTTTCTTTGCCATATTCTATTCTTTTCCTCATTTTATGCATCTAAGTTTCATGGCAGGAGATTGTAAGCCAGTTGTCAGGTTTGCTCATTGATTGCCATTTTCCATTAGTGTTGTTCGTTAACTATGTATACTTGCATCATAGTAAGAGGCAAACAAAAAACCAAACTAGCTGAAGCCAGAACTTTGCTAGTTCTTTTGTAGTATCAGATACAAATTTAAGCACCTTAGCTGAAAGTATGGCTTCTGTTTAACAATATGAAGAGGATAGGCAGACTAACTGAGAGAACTCTGATGGTTTTAATTGACCGACCTTGTCAGCATAAGTATTAAATTGGGTACGAAGAATTCTGATCTTGACTTTTGATGTTTATGTGTCTTGCATTTTCCTTCTAGTATAGGGCATGAAGGAATGATTCTTCATGCTATGATAGCAAGACGTGGTGGGTTGAGTTTGAGTTTTATGGCTTTATTTGAAGTTACTGTTTTATGTGGTACTAGTTTTTGTTAACCTAGAGAGTCCTGGAAAGATTTGCATTTTGCAAATCTTACTTTGGGTAGCAGGAGAATGTATTGTTGTATCATGAACACTGGTGTTAGATGGTAAAATTCACTTTTCCTTCTGGTGTAGAGAAGCAGTTTCCGATAGACCCTCGGCTCCCTCCCTCCAAGAACTCCCCACCTTGCTCTTGGGGTGACTCGAATTCAAAACCTCTTGGTTGGAAGTGGGGGGTGCTCACCACTAGAACAACCCACTTTTGTCAGTACTTTTCCTTCTGGTGTAGAGAAGCAGTTTCCGATAGACCCTCGGCTCCCTCCCTCCAAGAACTCCCCACCTTGCTCTTGGGGTGACTCGAATTCAAAACCTCTTGGTTGGAAGTGGGGGGTGCTCACCACTAGAACAACCCACTTTTGTCAGTACTTTTCCTTCTGGTGTGAAGAAGGGAAAAAGGACTCTAAACACACACTACCTTTGTGCTTGCAAAAGTAGCATGTTTCCGATAGTAGTTATTGGCAGCGGTGGTTGTTGCTAGTCCATATTCATGTTTGTGCGAATGAGGTTTCTGTCTCTTTAGGAATGATATACCCTGCTTGAGGTTAATAATCCGAGGTGTATTAATTCCACTGAAATCTTGAAAGCTGTTTCTCAGACTTGTAATCTAAGATAGCTGTTCCCTAAAGAAGTGCATCTCAGTTTCTCTGAAATCTTGAAAGCTGGTTGTTTAGACTTATAATTTTTGCTGATGTTTCCTATCTCGTTATTTTTTTATGTCATATGGAAAATTTAAGAAAAGAAATTGTTGAGTGAGTTGCATTTATGGTCCAAATGTATACAACAAAGTGCTACTTGTAATTCACGCGCGAGGTGGGCTGACTAAGTAGGATGTTTAGTTGATGTGCATTATAAAAGGCTTGATGTTTATTGGAGAAATCTTAAAGGGGTTGTTTATGTATTTCGTAAAAATGGTACTTTTCCTGATTACCGTTCATTGTTAATTTCTGTCATGTTAACAAAAAAAAAAATTTAAAAAATGGAGTTGGCTAGAAAGCAATAAGCCAAATCCAGTCCTTTCTAGAGACATGACTTTGACTAGGTTATGGATTGAATGGCGCATATCTTTGCGATGCTCTTATATTTTATGAAGCAAATTAGTTCAACTAAGAATACACAAACTGTTCAAAGGTGAATATTAGTAATACATTTTGACGCTATAAAGGGTTTTTTTTTTAAAAAAAAAAAACTTCAGGGATCATCTTGGTTCAATATGATACCAGGGTCAAATATTCCAGACTCTAAAAGCTACCTTTGTGGTTGCAAAACTAACAAATTGGGTGCAATATAACATCAGTGTTAAATATTCAAGTCTAATTTGTGGTTGCAAAATTAAGCGACGTTTACATAAAAAAGGATTGTGTCCAGATCATTGCAAAGGAACAGTGGCATTATCCCCAAGGTCTCAAGTTGCTTTCTCAATCTTTTTCTTGTATCTTAATGGGAAAGGACAATATTTAGGATTTAGCCAGGGCAAGTCGCCCCATCGTCCCAAAAAAGAGTTTAAAAGAGCAAAAGTCTGAAAGGACAGAATCCCTTATCCAAAAGGGGAAGATAAGTGATCAGCCAAAAAAAATTTGAGGTGCTGATTTGACGATAAGACATTGAAAAAACGAACGATGACCTAGAAAAAGGCAATCTTACTTGATTATTTAAATAAAAAATAGTACTCCACTAAAGAAGAGAAAAATAAATCAATTCTCAATATGCTTTTGGATATTCAATGAGTTGCTGTGAGTTTTCTTGAATGCTTTTTTTCTTTTTGGAAAATATCACTGAATCTACTTTTTTGTTTTTACCATCAAAACTCCAGATATTTTTCCCGACAAGTCCTGTAAAGTAGGACTCTAGGATTATTATGTTACCTGCCAATGCTATCGTGAATTGGAGAGTACTAATGGCTTAACACATCTGTAGAATATATCCTGCAAACTTTTGAGCACACAAATGAGAAGGTTAAACATAAATACATAATTAGTGTCTACCTTATCAATAAAAAAGCATAAATACATAGTTAGATTCGTTTATATGGGTATTAGGCAGAAGAACTTCATGGAAGATTATAATAAAAGTGAATTTCTAGTGATACATATACGATTAATATTCTTTCGCCCAAAAAATATAGGGCAAAATACAAAATTGGTCAATCCGCCAAAATAAATTGTATTTGCTAGCCAAAAAGTATATAAAATTTGTATACAAAACATGTATATATAAACAATATACATTTTGTCTGCTATTATTTTTGGGAATAGCTAAAAATATACATTTTTTAAAATTATATTATAGATAGGTGAAAAAAAATATTTTATATACATGTACTATATGCTGAATTCTTTTTTCTTCTTCATATATTTACTTTCTTATATTTAGATTCTCCTTGCTAAAAATCTTATTGTATTAGGTCTTTATAATAAAACCATTTTTTAATCCTACGGTGCAACGTATCCACACTCCACAGTGAAGCTGGTGTTGCTTTCTTGTTCCTACCACAATTTTTTTAGCATTTTACTTATTTTAATTATAATTGTTGGTAGACAAGTCACTGTTAGCGAAGCCTTTATAGACCATTTTACCAGTTTTCATGAATCATGATAGAGTGAAAGCAACGTTCTTATCATCTTTTTAGTTCAACCACAAACCTAAGAGAGAGAACGAAAAAAGAAGAAAAAAGTGAAAGCAATCCTCCTGCAATTTTTGGTTATGTAACACTTACCTTTCTGATGTTTCCTATATTACAGAAATCTCTATTATTTATTTAAATTTGTCTAAATTAAGGCCATGTTTTCTAAGGGTATACCAACTCTACCCTAATCATTGGCAAATTGTCTGTTATATATGAAGCATATTATCAAAATCTTGAACCTTTCGACTTTCAAATCTGACTTTCATTTAGCATGTATAAGTAAAAGATAAATAAATCTAAAACGAATAAAGTAAGAGTCAAGTCATAAGTCATAACATGTACAATCAGGAGAAGAATTAGTACTAGTGATCAACTAACACCCTAAAAATATGAGCATATTTTTAATATTTGAGAGACATTTAAATGAAGGATCATCTTATCCTAGAATATTTATTGCTAAAACAAAACTTTGAAAAAAATGAGAGATAATTCACTTGGATACTTGGTCTGATATAAACAATATTCTTGAGGGCTAAATTCAATAAATTAAAGTTCCCATCTTTTAGGTATTTTAATGGTCTCGTCAGACCAAAATTAAAATAAGAGAAATTTATGTACTATTTGAATATGTATTTTATTTATATCCGATTGTCGTCACTGTTCATTTTTGTCCGTGTTTGAATAATTTAAACTTGCTCTGATCAATTTGGAAATCTTACAGCTCCGCAGGTCCCCCCACATATTCAACACGCTCCCACAGCCGTCGGCTGCCTTAAGACTATAATATAGCTCAGGAAAAAACCATTCCACACTCCAAGTTTTCTATCTCTCTGTTTTCTATCTCTCTAGAAGATTCACAAAGAGCAAGAAAAGAGGAAAAAGATTCAATCTTGACCTTTGTTCTTGTATATCAAATCTAAACTTTTGATCTTTTTTCTGAGTTTGTGTAAAACTTGCATTAGATTGGTTTGGATTCTTGATTTGGAGATAAGACTATGGGGTTTGAGAAAGATGAAGCAAGTTCATCTTCCCATGTATTGAGCATCCCAAAAGAAGATACACCACTTTTAGGCAAGACTCAACACCTCTCTTCTCCTTCAAAAACTTTTGCTAATGTTTTCATAGCAATAGTTGGAGCTGGAGTTCTTGGTCTTCCTTACACTTTTAAGAGAACTGGATGGGTTTTAGGTTCAATTATGCTCTTCTCAGTTGCTTTTCTTACCTACTACTGTATGATGCTTTTGGTTTATTCAAGGCGTAGGATTGAATCCCAACTCAAAGCTGCAAAAGTTTCATCTTTTGGTGACTTGGGATTTGCTGTGTGTGGACCTGTTGGGAGATTTGCTGTTGATGCTATGATTGTTCTATCCCAAGCTGGTTTTTGTATCAGCTACTTGATTTTTGTAGCTAATACTTTAGCATATTTGTTTAATTACTCTATCACAAAACCAGATCCTACAATCTTGGGATTTTCACCCAAATCAGTGTATATTTGGAGCTGTTTCCCATTCCAGTTGGGGTTGAACTCAATTCCAACACTGACCCTTTTAGCCCCTTTGAGCATATTTGCTGATATTGTTGATTTAGGAGCTATGGGTGTAGTAATGGTTGAGGATGTGATGATTTACCTTACAAACAGACCAGTTCTTGAAATGTTTGGTGGGTTCAATGTGTTTTTCTATGGTCTTGGTGTAGCTGTCTATGCTTTTGAAGGGATTGGAATGGTTTTGCCTCTGGAATCAGAGACAAGAGACAAGGACAAATTTGGGAAAATCTTGGGTTTAGCAATGGCTTTCATATCATTGATGTTTGGTGCTTTTGGAATATTAGGTTATTTTGCTTTTGGAGAAGATACTAAGGATATAATCACTACAAATCTTGGGCAAGGTTTGCTCAGCAGTTTGGTTCAAATTGGCCTTTGCATAAACTTATTTTTAACTTTCCCATTGATGATGAATCCAGTTTATGAAGTAATGGAAAGGAGATTTTGTGAAGGCAGTTACTGCTTGTGGATTAGATGGCTTGTGGTTTTGGCAGTTACTTTTGTGGCATTAGTAGTGCCTAATTTTGCTGATTTCTTGTCACTTGTTGGGAGCAGTGTGTGTATTATTTTGGGGTTTGTTTTGCCTGCTTTGTTTCACCTGATTGTGTTTAAGGATGAGCTGAGCTGGCATGGTTTGGCTTTTGATTCTGCTCTTATTGTTATGGGCACTGTTTTTGCAGTCTATGGCACTTCTTCTTCCCTAATGGAGATCTTAGCAAAAAAGGCTTAGTTTTTCCCATAGCATTTCAGAAGATGTATATTATGAACTCTTGGTTTAGATTGAGTTCAGATTACTTTTTTAAGAGATTATTTTCATTCCTAAGCAAAGAGTAAGCTCACTCTTTGTTCTTATTAGTAATAAGTTTGTTAAGCTATCCTTTCACAAATGATATAAAGGATTGGTGTGAGGGGTCTGAGATTCATATTCATGTGGTTATTTATTGCAAGACATTATATTGCTTAATTGGCCAATTTGGTTTTCTCTTCTTAATACTTGGTACTTGTTATGTTATGCATATATAATATGCTATGGGAATTGACCACATTTGATAATCTCTATTTTCTAGAAATGAAGTTTTGATTAATTATTGGTTCCCTTTTGAAGTTTAAGGTTGAAGCTTCTTTGTGTTTCCTCTCCATCTTTGCTTAGGAATGATTATGATAGAAATACAAGATCATTTCAAGCTCTTATGAGTTTGAAAATATAGCAGCAGAGAAATAAGCAAAGCAGAACACATTAGCTTGTTGAAAGTTATCATGTGGAGTTGATGAGTTGATAAATGTTCATGAGTACATGAGTTTATTCTTATACTGAACAAGGTGAGAAGCGGTGTCCGGTACCCACATTGGAACCCGACTAAATCTCAATTCGCATCGGGAAGTCCCACCTTGGAGGTGAAGTACTTCCTAGCAAAGGCGACTCCATACTGAGGGTTCAAACCCGAGACTTCTGCTTAAGGAAGAAGGAGTACCTACCACTCCACTACAACCCGTGTTGGTAAGGTGAGATCCACTTATGACAAAGTAAATATCAAGTGAAGGCATGAAATAATGCTTTAAAATCAACATAGTCCTACACCCAATTTCACTTACAAGTTTATAACAAATAAACTAACACTGTTTGAGGCTGCATTAGACACTGCCATCAGATTTTGTTCCAACTACAATATCACTCTACTGAACTTCTCTATCAAGGTTTGTGACAAAATCTTTCTCTGGTGCAGTGACGCAGATGTTACTTTTCTTGTTCCAACCATAAACTTTTTTAGCTTTTTAGTTATTTTAATTCATTGAAAGATAAACTTGACAATTACAAATGCTTTTAAAAAGAGAGTGGAAATCTTCCTTATAAGGATGATACCAACAACTATAGGTTGAAGAAGATCATAAAGGATACTTCACATATGATGAACCAGGCCAATATTAGCCTTGTGCATTGCTTCAGGGAGGCAAATGAAGTAGCAGATTCTCTAGCAAAATTGGCGACTACTAACTCTGAAGCCAAAGTATACATTTCTTTCCAACAACTCCCAAAAGGAACTAAAGATTCTTTTGTGCTTGACAAACACCGGATGCCTACTGTTAGGCTTAAGTATGACAAAGCAAATTTTTTGTTAGCTAAGTAGTAAATGTCTTGTACTTTAACAGAGGCGCAAACTAATGTAACAACCTCTGTTTGATGTATATAGTGTGTTGTAATCCTTGGAGGTAAGGCTCACATCCCCCTCCTATGTTTTGGAAATAAATACAACACCCCATGAAACCTGGGAAATTCTATTAAAAAAAAAGAGAGAAGAAATCTTCCTTATAAAAATGCTTTCATATATCACACTTGCCTCTTTTATGTGGCCATTATTATAGAAAATCTTCCTTATTTTCAACTTTTTATTTAATTAATTATTAATACGAGGCATGTTGATGCGAATTAAAGTGATATTGGCAACTAATGAAGTATAGAGGCAGATCTACAATTTTTATAACATGGGTGCACCACTAAAGAAAGGATAAAAAAGTAAGTATTAAGTGAAAATTGATCCTTATTTCTCTAGGTAAATAACCCAGCATTCAACCAAGTGCACCATTTAGCCTATACTTTTTTGCGGAGAGACCATGGGTTCACGTGCCTTATATATTGGACTATAAATCCGCGTCTGATGGAGTATGGTAATGGATCCCGAAATATTGTCCGGTATGCAACAATATACGTACGAAAGAGTAGAAAATGTGAAAAAATTCTAGTACTTTTCATTTTTATTTTATTTATATAATATTAGCATGAGATGGAATTAAATAGAAAAATATGATAAGAATTCATATAATCTACTGTAACGACCCGTCCGGTCGTTTTGAGTATTACAGCCTCGTTCCTCCGTTCACTGCTCAATTTATGCTTTATAGCTGTTGTATGACTTATTGAGTTAGTTAGTTCGGATCCGGAGAAAATTCAGAGTGAAATGAGACACTTAGTCTCATATTTGAAAACCTAAGTTAGAAAAGTTGACCGGAGGTGGACTTATGTGAAAACGACCTCAGATTTGAATTTTGATGATTTCAATAGTTCTGTATGGTGATTTTGGACTTAGGAACGTGTCCGAAAAATTATTTGGAGATCGGTAGAGAAATTAGTCTTGAAATGACGAAAGTTGAATTTTTGGAAAGTTTGACCGGGGGTTTGACTTTTTGATATCGGAATCCGATTTCGAAAATTTTTATAGCTCTGTTATGTCATTTATGACTTGTGTGCAAACTTTGAGGTCAATCAGACTTGATTTGATAGATTTCAACATCGAATGTAGAAGTTGGAAATTCTTAAGTTTCATTAAGATTGAATTGGGGTGTGATTTGTGATTTTAGCGTTATTTGATGTGATTTGAGATTTCAACTAAGTCCGTATGATATTTTAGGACTTGTTGATATGATTTGACGGGTCCCGATGGGCTTGGTTGTATTTGTTTGGATCATTGGTTGAGAGACTAGTAAAGTTAAGAAATTTGAGAGTTTGACCATGGTCAATATCGGGTTAAGACGATCTCTTTTCAGCGTTTTGAGTGCGCGAGCAGGTCCGTAGCATGTTTTATGATTGAAATTCATATATGGTTTGTGTCAGGGAGGTTCCGGATGAGTTTTAGGGTGGTTTCGGATCATTTGAGAGAAGTTTGTGTTTGCTGGTTTCTGGTGAGGTAATGTTCATTCGCAATTGCGAACAATTTATGGCAATTGCGAACCATTTATGGCAATTGCGAAAACATTGTTCATTCGCAATTGCGAACCATTTATGGCAATTGCGAAAACACTGTTCATTCGCAATTGCGAACAATTTATGGCAATTGCGAAAATACTGTTCATTCGCAAATGCGAAGTTTTTGTCCGCAAATGTGAACCTGGACAGAATGTTTAAGATCTGAAAATGGGACTTTGTCCCATTTTCTATTTTTACCGATTTGGAGCTAGGATTGAGGCGAGTTTTGAGAGATTTTCAGAGAAAATATCGGGGTAAGTGTTCTTAACTCAATTTTGGTTAGATTACCCAAATCCATCACAGTTTTTATCATTTAATTGGTGAATTAAGTTGGAAAAGTTTGAAAACTCTCTTGGATAAATTTGAGGATTTGAGGGCCGAATTGTTATCGGAATTTAGTAATTTTGGTATGGTTAGACTCGTGGTTGAATGGGCGTTCATATTTCGTAACTTTCACCGGATTCCGAGACGTGGGCCCCATGGACGATTTTTGAGCTAAATTTCATATTTTTATGGAAAATTAGCATTTTCTTATGGAATTAATTCCAATAAATTTTATTAACTGAATCAAATTAATTGTGGCTAGATTCGAGGTGTTTGGAGGCCAATTCACAAGGTAAAGGCATAGCGGAGTAAAGAATTACACGGTTTTAGGTAAGTAACACTTCTAAACTTGATTCTGAGGGTATGAATCCCCGAATTTGGTATGATATAAATTGTTTGAAGATGACACATACGATAGGTGACGAGCATGTGGACGTGCACCATATAAATTGTGTCTTAAATAAATCCTGTGCAGTTGTAAGATTAATGAATCATGTTATTATCTGAACATTCTCCACGTGTTAGAGAAATTGAGTTGAGGCTCCTAATAAAGATCATGTTTAGGCTACATGCCAATATTTTGGGACCCATGGGGTCGTGTTGCTGTTGAATTAATTATTCCAAAATATACATTTCACACTCAGTAATATTTGTCCATTGTGAGAATATTTATGGGATTGAGCTGCGCGACGCAGCAGGCCATAATAGCTTTATACATTACTATTTTATGGATGGGGTTGCCCGCCTGCAGCATCCTTATAGGCTTTATACATTACTATTTTATGGATGGGGTTGCCCGCCTGCAGCGGCCTTATAGGCTTTATTATTTTATGGATGGGGACTGCCCGCCTGCAGCATGCCTTATAGGCTTTACTATTTTATGGATCGGGGTTGCCCGCCTGCAGCAGGCCTTATTGGCTTTATTATATAATGGATCGGTACTGCTCGCCTACAGCAGGCCTTATTGGCTTTATTATATAATGGATCGGGGCTACCCGCTTGTAGCAGGCCTTATTGGCTTTATTAGTATACGGATAGGGACTGCCCGCGTGCAGTTGGCCATATCGGCTTTATATCACGCTTGGGCTGAATGAGCCACTCCGGAGTCTGTACACACCTCCAGTGAGTGTAGATGATTATATATATTCGGGATGGACTTCCCAGGGCATGGACTTGCCTTACTTACGATGATCATATATATATTCGTGATGAATTTTTCAAGGGCATGGACTTGCCTTACTTATTTATATTGTAATGAATTTACCTGGACATGGATCTTGTCCATATCATTTTCATTTGGGGATAAATTACCCCAGGGCTGGATTGGCCTTATACGGTACTGAGTGACTGACTGCCAGTCGATATGTATATATATACGGGTTGGAACACCCCTGGGCTGGATTGGCCATAAACTGTATCGAGTGACCGAATAATTTATGACCAGTATTTACATGAGGTCTTTCTACTAGGATGTCATATTCCTCATATCATACAGTATTGATCTATTTCACGTGTACTGAGTTTAACTGTTGAACTTGAAAGCATGACTACATTTTGTACCATTATTTATATTGGACTGTACCTGCGGAGCTCGTCACTACTTTCAGCCCAGAGGTTAGTCTTGTTACTTATTGAGTTGGTTGTACTCATACTACACTCTGCACCTTGTGTGCAGATCCAGGTGCTTCCGGACACGGCGACTGTTAGACCTCAGGATGTTACCAGTTGGAGATTATCAGGGTAGATGTTTGGCGTCCGCTAACCTTGTTTCTCTTTCCTTCAGTTATTATACTGTTCTATACTTTCAGACAGTGATTTTTATCAGTCAGACACTGTATTCATATTAGATGCTCATGTACTCAGTGACACCGAATTTTGGGAGTGTTATATTCGTATTTGTGAGATTTCTTCCGCTGAATTTAATTATTTTATTTTCTAATTTAAAAGATATGGTGATTTATTTAGATTGTTGGCTTGCCTGGTATTGAAATAGGCGTCATCACGACATGTGAGATTTTGGATCGTGACATCTACCTTGACTGGCAGGGGATTGAAGCATTATAGTTATATGGAATGAGATATGAATAAGTTCATGAACCAAAAGCACACATTAAACCATACTATATATGCAGAAATAGAATCTGAAAAGTTGAAGTAATTAGCCACGGTAAAGCATCAATACACGTATCTATTTCATCCAATATAATACTTCATCCAAATATTTGTAGAAAATAGACGTGATGTTATTTAAGCAATTATCTTACATGGTAAATTCCTATATTCAATAGCTATTTGCCTCCTTTTAGGTATTTTAATGGTATTATTATACAAAATCTTGCAAATTGGAAAGCTTATGTAATCTAACACACAAATTGGGAAGGTAAGTTGATACTTAGACAAAGGTGAAGGGATGTGTGTATTAGTTATAATTACTTTCTTTATCATTCCAATTATAGGTAATACCCCAAAATTCAAATGGGACAAGCATAAGTACAAGTAAAATTAAGATATACAACCAACCTTTCGATAACAGTCTCGTTTATTTTGATTTTTTTTTTTTTTGTTGTTAAAGTAATGTTATAAAGAATATATATTATAATATAATATTATACGTTTATAATGACGGACTATGGTTGTTACTTGTTACAGAGAAGTCTTAGGTGAAATGTCACTTTCAATTTGTTTTTTTAAGAATATATTTTTGACTTTATCCGGTCAAATCAGTTGTAGCTTACATATGCAGGACCCCACCACATTACGACACAGTCCTAAAATCCTATCCACGTTTAAACACTAAAATTTAGCATAGGAAAATCCATCAACATACCTCAAAGAAGAAATTCCCACAAACAGCAAAAAGGGGAAAAAAGATTTCATTTTTATCAATCTTAATCTTATTGCTGTTAGTGCTTCTCCCACAATCTCAATCAAATCGAGAATTTTTTAAAAATCTTTTTCTGGGTTTGTTAAAAACTCGCAGTTTATTGGATTGAATTCTTGATTTGAGGATTACACAATGGGGTTTAAGACAAACGAAGCAAGTTCTTCATCCCATATTTTGAAAATCCCAAGAGAGGATACACCACTTATGGGCAAGACTCAAAAACTGTCTTCTCCTTCAAAGACTTTTGCTAATATTTTCATGTCTTTAGTTGGAGCTGGAGTTCTTGGACTTCCGTACACTTTCAAAAGAACTGGATGGGTAATGGGTTTTCTCTTGATTATTTCAGTAGCTGTTCTTACCTATTACTGTATGATGCTTCTTGTTTATTCAAGGCGTAAGCTTGAATCCCAATGTGAAGCTCCCAAAATCTCATCTTTTGGTGACTTGGGTTTTGCTGTGTGTGGACCAATAGGTCGTTTTGCTGTTGATTCTATGATTGTTCTCTCACAAGCATGTTTTTCAGTAGGGTACATGATTTTTATTGCTAATACTTTAGCTTACTTGTTTAATTATTCTATCACACAACCAGAGTCCAAGATATTTGGATTTTCACCCAAATCAGTGTATATTTGGAGCTGTTTGCCTTTTCAGTTGGGGTTGAATTCAATTCCTACATTGACCCTTTTAGCCCCTTTGAGTATTTTTGCTGAAATTGTTGATTTAGGAGCTTTAGGTGTAGTGATGGTTGAGGATGTGATGATTTGCATCAAGAACAGGCCTAATTTGGAGATGTTTGGTGGGTTCAGTGTGTTGTTCTATGGTGTTGGTGTGGCTGTGTATGCTTTTGAAGGAATGTCAATGATTTTGCCTTTGGAATCAGAGATAAGAGACAAGGAAAAATTTGGGAAAATCTTGGGTTTGTCAGTGGCCTTTGTAGCATTGGTATATGGTACTTTTGGAGCATTGGGTTACTTTGCATTTGGGGAAGAGACCAAAGATATAATCACTACTAATTTTGGGCAGGGATTGCTAAGCAGCCTGGTGCAACTTGGCCTGTGCATAGACCTGTTCTTTGCTTTCCCACTGATGATGAATCCAGTTTATGAAGTGATGGAAAGGAGATTCTGTGAAGGTAGCTACTGCTTGTGGCTGAGATGGCTTGTGGTTTTAGCAGTGTCTTTTGTGGCGTTGATGGTACCCAATTTTGCTGATTTCATGTCACTTGTTGGGAGCAGTGTGTGTGTTGTTCTGGGGTTTGTGTTACCTTCTTTGTTTCATCTGATTGCATTCAAGAATGAATTGGGCTGGTGTAGTTTGTTTCTTGATGCTGCATTTATTGTCATGGGCACAGTTTTTGCAGTCTATGGAACCTCTTCTACACTGATAAAGATCTTTGCAAAAATGGCTTAGCTTTTTCTTTTCTGTGAATAGAATTTCATAAAATGCATATTATGCACTCTGGTTAATATATTGACTGAAATTGCTCTTGAATCAATTCTTAATGGCAAAAAAGTTTCACTTTTGTTCTTTCTTTACTAGTAATAACGTTAATTTGATTCTGCACTTCTAAAAGCAACATGGACTCTAACCTTGCATTGCCCGTTTACCAAAACGACAAAATGTTTCACTAACTTATAATAATGCTCAACTTAGGAAGTTGCGAATGAATGAAGAACAAGGGGAGAATGGCTTACTGGAAAAATGCCCTCTATTTCAGCCATGTGGTTGAGGATTCAATTGTCAATTAAACGAAGTGGAAACAAACCCACTGCTTCTCCTCAATAAGGAAATCTGAGGGTGTTTACTTGTACAGAAAATGAACAAATAAATAAAAGAGGCACGAAAACACTAGACAGCGAAAAGCAAATTACATATCCTAACTTATATATGCATAAACTTTATCTTCCCCAAAAGTTAGAAAGTAAACTTATACTATATGTATAAACTTTCTCAATCACAATCAAGAAGTCACATTTAATATGCAATGTTAACATATTAAATTGGCCAGGTGTATAATGCAATATTCTACGTTGGAAAGCTATAGACTAGGACTCCCCCCNACTACCAGTCTACACAACCATAATTCCATTTACTTCAGCAATGCAGCACAACTGAGCACAAAGTGCACGGTTTAGAAAGCCAAAGAATGAATACGAACTTGGAACAACAACATAACCAGTATTATCCCACGAACTTGGAAATACCCACAAAAAAAAAAAATTACTCAGCTCCTGGGTAACAAATCCACTCTCAACCAAACGAACTCTCCAAAACCAACTAACAAAAAATGTTCGTTATGCACGTTTTATACATTCAATATGGGTGAATCCGCAAAAGTTCTGTCCACCATGAAGTCTGATAAAATAATGTGGTAGACTAGGTCAAAATTCACAAGGAAAAAAATAAAAAATCAAGCTAATAACATAATACAAGGAAATACAGCTTATCGCGATGCTAACTCATGCCGCACACAATTTTTATCTAGCCACAATACCTACAAACAACAAACTGGCCAAAGATAAAATGAAATAGAATATAAAATGACTTCGTACTAGTACTCCATTACCCCATTAAAACGCTTTCCAACTATCAGAATCTCTCCTTGATGCCTGACTCTCCACTGATGTCTTAAATGGATCATTTGACCCAAATGGATCTGCATCATCAAAAGATGGGAAGCCATGACCATGATCTGTGTCCCTGGTGCTACTGATGGAATCAAACCTAGTTAGTGACGCGCGGGGAGGAAATTGCCCAAAATTATAGTCAGAGTCTGCGGTGCTGCGAAATGAATCGAACCTAGCAAACGAGTCCCGCTGCTGGAATGAACCTTGATCGTAGTCAGAGTCTCTGGTGCTGCGCATTGAATCAAATCTTGAAAGAGAGTCACGAGTGCCAAAGGGGCCACTATCCTGCATGTTGAAGGAATCAAATCTGGAGAATCTGTTGGAGTGTTCTTCAAATCCTTCACTAGATCTTCGAGGTGAGTTTGTAGAACTGTACATAGGTGTGCTCGGAACTGAGTCCCCAAAGGCAAATGGACTCTTTTTCTGGAACATATTATCTGCATTTGGGGAGCCGCCTGAATTATAAGCTGGTGTGCTAGGAACAGAATCAAAGAAGGGACTTTGCCTCGAGAACATATCAGTCTGAGAGAATCCGGAGTTGTAATTTGGGGTGCTTGGAACAGAATCAAAGAAAGGGCTTTGCTTCGGGAACGTGTTGTCTGAATAACTGAACCCAGCATTGTAACTTGGGGTGCTAGGAACAGAATCAAGGAACGGGCTTTGCTTCGGGAAAGTGTTGTCTAACCCAGCATTGTAACTTGGGGTGCTAGGAACAGAATCAAGGAATGGACTGTGCTTCGGGAGCGTGTCGATAGACTGTTTGGACCCCGTTTTAATAGGGCTTAGACCCCAGTCATCAGCTCCAAAAAGAGAAGCTTCCTTATGATTGTCACGATCTGTGTCCTGCATAAACAAAAAAGTTAAGCAATATGATGTGGAGTTTCAGCTTTAAAATAATGTCAAAGGTATTCTTCGAAATGGTAATTCTGCAAACGAGTAAAAGGTTGCCTAGACAGTGAAGTGCTACAACATGCAAAAGTCTTGATCTAACCTGGCAGTTGCAAAAGTTAAAAAGAAAATGCAAAACGCATCCATTTACCTTTGCAACAGAATTGAGGTCCCATGCGGCATCAGTGTCAAAGTTGGTATCAAACGTACCCCAGCCAGATTCATCAAAACCTTTGTCCGAGAACACAGATTCAGTACCCCAGCGTTCACTGTACTCATAAATTTAAACGAAGAAATTCAGATTTCTAGGAAACTGTACAATAGTTAGTAGAAGGTGGAACCCCTCACAATTGAGTATTCTAGACAGTTGTCATCATTGGAAAACAGAGGAACATGGTATACTGAATCACCCAAAAGAAGAAGAAAACCACCACATTACCTTTGGGCAGCATGGGGTGAACCATCAAAACCAATGTCCTTCCTGTACAGAAAATTCTTAGAACTCTTTACTTGGAGAACATGAGAGCATAATAGACCAAATCGCCAAAAGCAGAGGACCACATTACCTTGGGCCAGCATGGGGTGAACCATCAAAATTGACATCCTTCCCATACATAGACTCGTGGAATTCTTTGGACGGGCTCTCAACTGCATTACTTCTTGACGGACTATCAGTTGGACTTCTTGCTGTTTGTTGATGTCCATGCGCAGATTCTGTGTCACTAACTTCTCTAGCTTGTCCATGGTTTGGCACCTTATCTATCTTCGCATCAGTGCCAGCATCAGCAGATGATTTTCCAGCATCCTCATCTAAAGGAGATGCTTTCTCACGAACCAATGAAGACTTTGGTTTAGGAGGGGCAATGACGTTTTTCACGTCAAGCGTGAGCTCTTTCACAAAGGTGAATCCTGGAAAAGACAAAGATCCAAAAATAAAGTGAGAAGAATTTAATAAATTTATACAGCCCAAGCTGGTGACTATGGGGGCTTGGAGGAGTAGTAGGGACGCAAGCGCTATGTGGACCATGACTGCGCAGTGCATTACGGAAGCCGCGAGAAAGGTATTAGGGGTCTCAAAGGGTTACTCTGGTGGTCACAAGGGAGATTGGTGGTGGAATGGAGAGGTGCAAGGAAAAGTGGATACCAAGAAAGCAGCGTATCTGAAGCTAGTGGAAAGTGTAGACGAGGAGAAAAGGGCGAATAGGGAGCATTATAAGTTGGCTAAGAAAGAGGCTAAGCTAGCAGTTACGGCGGCCAAGAGTGCAACTTTTAGTCGTCTGTATAAGGAACTCGAGGGCCGAGGTGGGGATAAGAGGTTGTTCAGGTTAGCCAAGGCGCGAGAAAGGAAGGCGCGTGACTTGGACCAAGTGAAGTGTATCAAGTACGAAGAAAGTAGAGTTTTGTTGGATGAGGGGCTTATCCATCGGAGATGGCAGACCTACTTCCATAGTCTCTTGAACGAGGAGGGGGACAGGAGCATTGTACTAGGTGATTTGGAACTCTCCGGGAGTCGTGACTTTGGGTATTGTAGGCGGATTAGAGTTGATGAAGTTGAGGGTACTATGCGTAAGATGAGCAGGGGCAAAGCGACCGGGTCGGATGAAATCCCGGTGGAGTTTTGGAAGAGTGTGGGCAAGGCGGGCTTGGAGTGGCTCACTAGGTTATTTAATGTCATTTTTAGAACGAAGAAGATGCCCGAAGAGTGNGAAAAGTGGAGGTGGAGCACGATGGTTCCCGTATACAAGAACAAGGGTGATATCCAAAATTGCAATAATTATCGGGGTATCAAGTTGCTTAGCCATACTATGAAAGTCTGGGAGAGAGTGGTAGAGCTAAGGGTGAGAAGTAGTGTGACTATTTCCGAGAACCAATTTGGGTTTATGCCGGGGCGTTCGACTATAGAAGCCATCCACCTTGTTAGGAGATTGATGGAGCAGTATAGGGAGAGAAAGAAGGACTTGCATATGGTGTTCATCGACTTAGAAAAGGCTTACGATAAAGTTCCGAGGGAGATTTTGTGGAGATGTTTGGAGGCTAGAGGTGTACCCGTTCCCTACGTTAGGTTGATTAAGGACATGTATGATGGAGTAAAGACTCGAGTGAGGACTGCGTGTGGCTGGGGAAGGGGTGTGAGGCTGGACTAGCAGGTCATCCCTAGGAGAGGGAGTTTTAAGTACCCCGGGTCTATTATTCAGGGGATGGGGAGATTGATGAAGATGTCGCACGTCGTATTGGGGCGGGATGGATGAAATAGAAACTCGCTTCCGGTGTTTTGTGTGACAATAAGGTGCCACCAAAACTTAAAGGTCAGTTCTACAGAGTGGTGGTCAGACCGACGATGTTGTATGGGGCTGAGTGTTGGCCAGTCAAGATAGCTCATGTTAGATAGGATTAGAAATGAGGTTATTCGCGACAAGGTGGGTGTGGCCCCTATTGAGGACAAGATGCGGGAAGCGCGACTTAGGTGGTTTGGTCATGTGAGGAGGAGGAGCACAGACGCCCCGGTGAGGAGGAGGTTGACATTGGAGGGCCTACGGAGAGGTAGAGGTAGGCCAAAGAAGATGTGGGAGAGGTGATTAGGCAAGACATGGCGCAACTTCAGCTGACCGAGGACATGACCCTTGATAGGAAGGTTGGAGGTCGAGAATGAGGGTAGTAGAGTAGGTAGTGTAGAGTGTTCATAACATTAGTATTGGCACGCAGTTTCGTTTTCTGTTGGTAGTAGGAGTTTTATGACTAACCGTTGTTTTCTTTCATTGTTGATCACTTTACTGTCTTGTTGTTTTATTCTACTTTTATATGATTTTTTGATACTGTCCCTTTTTGCCTATATTTTCATTAATGTGGTACTTATAATATCTTGAGCCGAGGGTTTATTGGAAACAACCTCTCTATCCTCACAATGTAGGGGTAAGGTCTACGTACACACTACCCTCCCCAGACCCGACCAGACTCGACCGTGGGATAATACTGGGTATGTTGTTGTTGTTGTAGTATACAGCCCTCA